GGACATTCAGGAAGCAGCCAAAGATTCTTTCTTATCATTGATATTTCTCTCCCTCTACCCTTCCTCTCTGAAATCAATACAAATATTAATGTATATATATTTAACCAGGGGTCATTCTGAATATGCAATTTGGCTCTAAACTAAATTTCTTCTGAATTTTTATACTGCTCCATCAAATGACAATTCTGAACTTCCTACAACAGCATTGTTCAAGGGAACGTTCTGCGACAATGGCAATGCTCTATTCCTGTGCTGTCCAATGCAGTAGTCACCAGTCACACAGGGCTTAAAATGTGTCATGTGACTGAGGAAGTGAATTTCAAATTTTACATTACTTTAATTAACTTACATTTAAGTATAAATACTCATATACGGTTTGTGGGTATTGTTTTTGGGTAGTGCTATTCTAGAACCTTGTATATATAATATATATATTAATATAAACATTAATATATATATATATAGTCATTCTGAATATGCAATTTGGCTCTAAACTACATTTCTTCTGAATTTTTATACTGCTCCATCAAATGACAATTCTGAACTTCCTACAACAGCATTGTTCAAGGGAACGTTCTGCGACAATGGCAATGCTCTATTCCTGTGCTGTCCAATGCAGTAGTCACCAGTCACACAGGGCTTAAAATGTGTCATGTGACTGAGGAAGTGAATTTCAAATTTTACATTACTTTAATTAACTTACATTTAAGTATAAATACTCATATATGGTTTGTGGGTATTGTTTTTGGGTAGTGCTATTCTAGAACCTTGTATATAGAAATATTACTCTGGAATATAGATGGAAAGTGGAAGAGAAGGCAGGAGGGAGGGGAGAGCGACACACAAACACACACACACACACACACACACACACACACACGCTGGATGTAATTCCTATTCAAAGCCACAAGATGGCACCATTGCTCAGTCTTCACTCTGAAAAGTAATGCAGGCTGGTTTAGGATTTCTGCTCTTCCTTCCTTCCTTCCTCCCTCCCTCCCTCCCTTTCTCCCCCTGCCCCCAGCCCTTTTCTCTCCCTCCCTCCCTTCTTCCTTCCTTATCTATCTTTCTATCATTATTCTCTTCCTCCCCCTCCTCCTCCTCTCCCTCCTACCCTGCTTGTCCCCTCTCCTCCTTCAACACTGACTTTTTGGTGGACTTGAGCAATGCGGTAGCAGAGCCTGTTTCGTGAAGCTCAGAGCGATCAAGATCCCTGAGACTGATATTTGGCTACACAAACCGCAGTGGTTGACTCACTGGACATGACTGGAAAGGCTGGACTCCCCTGTTTTTTTCTTCTCTCTGGGCCCTGCTGTTACTGGCCTAGACCTGGCCCTCAGCTTGGGTGGCTAGCCGACAGGGATGATCTCGGTCACTCCCCCTTGCCCTTATCAAGTCCTCTCTTCCACCCCCCACCCCCAACACACTTCTTGGAAGCTTCAGCCCTCGCATTCGATTCTAAGAATCAGCAGAAAATCTAGAGAAACTAGACACGGGTAGAGAATGTCTCCTGGTGGGGGCTCTGGAGGCTCTTTTATAGTTTAGCCTAAGAAAAGGGAGTCAGTGACTGGGGGATGGTGAGTGGAACTTGCAGCATTTTCCTAAGGTTTGTAGAGTTTGGGAATAAATCTCCAGAGATGGGGCAGGGCTGCAGGCTAATTCCAGCACAGCAGGATCAGGGCCATGAAAACAAGCAACAAAGGGAACTTCAAAGCTCTTCTGCCCTCTGAATGGGCAGGGTCCTAGGTTGTTAACTTTGCACCAAAAGCCTCTTAAGAGCTTTCAGATGCCGCTGCAGCTCTGGAAATACACAGGACCTGTCCCCTCTCAGTGGAGTCAGGACCCACCAGGGCCCTGAAGGCGAAGTCGGGGAGGGCAGAGCTCAGAAGCTGGGGTCTAGCTCCGTTCTCTGGCTTAAGAAGGGAGGCTGGTTACATCTCTGCAAACCTGAATCTGATCAGTGCAGGAACTCACCCCACTTCAGTCCTGTCTCCTCCCCAAACCTGGTCAAATCCTGACACAGCTACTTTGGAGTAGGGTGTGGTGAGAATCGCTAATGCCGGCATCATGCGCCTCTGAGGCCAGGCGACTTCTTTATCTCTGATAGGCACAGGGATCAAAGGAGGGTATTTATGGCTTAGAAACAAACCTCCCATTCTTTCCCCTGGGATAATAAATAAGAAGAAGCTCCTCGGCCTCCCTTCCTCGCCCATCTCCCGCCCAGTCCTGTCTGTCTTAACTGTCCCTGTACGAAAACAAACCCTTTTCTCTGCTACTCCGCTCCCTTTTTTTTAAAGAACTAGGTCAGGTCAAACCACTCTGCCCAGCTCCAGGGCGTCTTGGCTGCAACTGAGCTATGGAGTGAGTGGTGCGGATCCCTATCCAGGGGAGGGTAGGAGGTTCCTGACCTCAGGCAGGCACCTCCACCGGGAGATTTTAGCGTCTTTGCTTTGCCTAGGTGCACATATCAGCACCTAGTCAGACTACCTGGGTGGGCTGGATACCTGCCCTGTCACTTATTCACTGGGGGACCTTGGGTGAGTTACTTAACATTTATAACCCTTCGTTTCCCAATCATTAAATGGGGATAAGATAGCATCTAAAACAAGCTTATGAAAAATAAATAAGATAAAATATGTAAAATGCTTAATACAGAGCCTGATACAAAATAATGTCAACTACATTTGTCAATACCTCAACATCCTTATTTTATTTCCAAGAACCTATAGCTGCAGTGCAAACTGAATCATTCATGTTCTTTTGTGGCCTCTAAGAGGCGCGGAAGTGAGGATCCCCCCAGGACCACAACCACCACTGTAACAGGAATCATCCTGTGGGGGAGGGGGTCCCGGGCCTTCAGGAGGCTGTGGGAGGGGCCCAGGTCAGTTTCTCAGCCTAAGCACTACTGGCATTTTGGGGGAACAAGGTAATTTTTTTGTTGTGCAGGGTCATTCTGTGAATCTTAGAATGTTTGGCAGCATCTCTGACCTCTGCTTACTAGGTGCCATTAGCAACCTTCTAGTTGTGACAATAAAAATAAAATTTAAAAAACAACATGTCTCTGGATGGAACTGGAGAGCATTATGCTAAGTGAAATAAGCCAGT